TATATTTAATTAAATTATTTTCAATAAACCACCAAGGCGAAGGAACGTTGTTCGGTGCAGTTATTATTATTATAATTATCACACCGCCAACAATTATCAGCAATTATCTACCAACTATTTTCGTCAAAAAATTGATATCAGAAATTTTGTGTTTCAAATTTTGGTTTCGTCATTCGTTCTTCACCTCGATAGAGGTTTTATTTAATAATTATTATTATTATTATTCTTACGGACACAATTATTTAAAGGTTATTTACCTTGTCTTATAAAATTGGCTAAATCAATTAAACTGCTAGTCACACGATTCACCAAATGATTTTTGAACATGTTACCCCATTTACGAACAATATTCAATAAAGACTGACGAAATGGACGCACATCAACCTAAAGAACGGAATAAATTATTTTAGTAAAAAATATCAACACTATTCAATAAGGAATTATCAATTGAATCATATTTATTTTCGAATTTTCGCTAGAAACTTTGCTGGGTGGTTGGAATTATTAATTAAGAAACCCGAAAAACAAAAGTTTGAATTTGCTAACCCGGGATATTCTTCCATATGAACCGCTTAGAATAAAATTTGATAATGGTAGAAACTTAAAAAAAATCTCAATCATGAAGTGCTATGAAAATAATACTCAATCAAGGAAAAATGTGAAAATAAAAATCGATCATAAATTGTGTTTGCCTTTTATTTTCACTCATTTTATGATTGACTTTTATTTTCACTTTTTCTCTTGATTGAGTATTATTACTTTTCCGCACACATAGTGTAAGGTGAAAAGTATTGTAATCGGTCAAAATTTTGAAAACTTCAGAAACATGTTTTCTGGACGTTTGCGAGGTCAGAGAACCCAAATCAGGCCATTTTGAGCATGGTTTATGTTAATCTGTACGTCGTACGTTGTACGTCGTACGCAAAATTTGTTAGCAAGAAATTTGAAGAGAGAGTTGACAGCTGTCAAAGCTACATTGTTTTTTTCACCGCTCTTGATAAAAAAAAGGATTTTCAATATTAAAAATATAAGAGGTTAATAAAAAAAAAAAAAAAAACACAGAGATCGATTCATCGAAATACGATTGATTATGAAAAATTGAAGTAAAAAAAAAAGAAAAATAAATCAAAGAAGGAGAACACTGTTGAAAAAAGTGTGTTGTTGTTGTAAATACAGTGTAAATAAACAGAAAAATGCATAGTTTACTCAAAAAATGCTATTGACAAAATTGGAGAACAATCGAATCCATTATTTAAACTGCTATAAAATTGCTATAAACGAAGAGAGATAATTTTTTTTGTCAAATTTCTGTTTTCGCGTACATCTGTGTTTATAATTAAACAACCGCTTTATTTTCACTTGTCAAATTACCGAAAAATGAAAGCTTGTCAGCAGGGCTTGACTATATTTTAATTCATAAATAGAATCATTTGGTTTTAATCATATATTTTGGACAATAATTTATGCACCCTGCCTAAAGGCACTAGAGGTTTAAAATGCAGTATTATTATTTAAAATGATAGCGGAACGATTTATTGATGCATGTGTCGGCATTGAAGTCGGCGTTAAGCAGTTCTAATTGTAATGAGCTTAGTGTTTTCAAAATTCGCCACCACCCAGCACATTTTCTAACGAAAACTTGAATAAAAATAATTTATAATTCCAAATGAATGAACTTATTCACACTTCTTAATACACTTTTTTGCTTTACCTGAAACCATGTATTGAAAACTTGAAATGGGTGAATTTTCTCAATTTCAGCATAAAGCGATTCGTAGTTTTCGATTTGTTCACGAAACGCCTCGATGGATGGTTGACATGGTTGCGGTGCATTTGAATCTCTCATAACAATAAAGTCAAGCTCATCGCTTTCAAGAAAACGACCATACTCCAAGAACATTTCCATACATTTGTCACGATCATCCAGCCACAAATAGGAATATCTTTCGAACCCATTGCAAAATTCAGTTGCCTCTTCAACAACTTTTTCAACACTTTCCAATATTTCATATTTCATATCAATAATATCGCTGTTTTTTAGTATTGCTGTCATATAGCTTTTCTCGTTTGATTTGAGACACTTAAAAATTGAAGACATTTTCATTATGTCATCGATAAGTAAAATCAGTAAATTGTTAAACCCATCTTTATCATTTGGGTCTAACGAGGGTACAAAAACCAATGAAGGGTCTAGCAATTCCAATTGGGATTCAAACAGAGGGGCCAAATTATTTGAAGGATACATTTGTTCGACGATGTATCCCAGTGAAATGCCAATCGTTGATAAAATATTCTCATAGACAATATCATTAACAAATGAAACATATGTTTGCCATGAAACATTTGAATCGTTCATTCCAAAATAGTCTTGATTTTCCTTTAACAAGCTGTCATTAAAAATATAAATAAGAAAATAAACATATTTAGTGCATATTTAACACATGGGTCAATAAGTTCGTAGGATGACACATAGATCACGGGCTTCGGTAAAAAATAGACACGAAATAGAAAAAAATAATGTATATAATAAAATCACGGGCTTCGGTAAAAAAAAATAAACTTCGGGTCGGGCTTCGGTCGGACTCGAGCAAGGACACAGGAAAGTGGTGATTTTGACATGGAGGACAAAGAACGTCCTCGCCAGCCAAAAAAGTTTGAAGATGAAGAATTGGAGGCATTACTCGATGAAGATTCTGGTCAAACGCAAGAAGAACTTGCGAAATCGTTGGGAGTAAGTCAAAAAGCCATTTCCGATCGCCCAAAGGCTCTTGGATTCATTCAAAAGCAAGGAAATTGGGTACATGAATTGAAACCAAGAGACGTTGAAAGACGATTGTGCATGTCCGAAATGCTGCTTGAGCGCCACAAAAAGAAGTCGTTTTTGCATCGACTTGTTACCGGTGATGAAAAATGGATTCATTACGACAACCCGAAGCGCAAGAAATCGTATGTGAAGCGCGGAAAACGAGCCAAATCAACGCCAAAGCAAGATATTCATTGTCCCAAGGTAATGCTCTGTATTTAGTGGGATCAGAAGGGTGTCCTCTATTATGAGCTATTAAAACCGGGTGAAACGATCACGGGAGGCCTGTACCGAACACAATTGATCCGTTTAAAGAGAGCATTGAACGAAAAACGGCCAGAATATGCGACCAGACATGAGTCCATAATTTTCCATCATGACAACGCTCGGCCTCACATTGCTCAGCCGGTTAAAAACTATTTGGAAAATAGTGGATGGGAAGTTTTGCTCCACCCGCTGTATAGCCCAGACATTGCCCCTTCTGACTATCACTTGTTTCGATCGATGCAGAATGCCTTGTCTGGAATACGCTTCACTTCAATTGAAGGTATCAAAAATTGGATTGATTCGTTTTCGTTCCTAGCCTCAAAAAATGAGCAGTTCTTTTTGTTCAGACATTTTATCACAAAATTATTACAGATTCAGTTTTCTCGTGAAAACTGATTTTCATTAAAAGATATGTAATATGTAAAAGTATTTTGTTCTAGTGGCGCCATCCATGTGTCATTCTACGAACTTATTGGCCCATGTGTTATATTGTTATTGTTTTAATATTAAAATACAAGTGAATTAATTACCTATGTACTGTATTTGACGCAAATTCAATTTCGGAATATCTTTTTGCGACGCGAATAGACCGTTCATTTATGCATAAAACTGTATTCTTCTTTCCATCTTTTCGCTCAAACAACGGTTGTTTGATCCATGTAGAAGTTATTATGTTAATTTTGCTAAGGTTAAATTGTGTTTTCTGCATACGTAATTGAATTTTTTCTATTGGATCTCTGATATTTTTTAAATACAGCATTATGTCTTCAATGAGAAAATTCAGACGGATAATTTTTAACATTTTTTGTACTTTGTTTTAAATTCTTACTTTCTGAATTCCAGCACAAATCGTTCAGTCCCAACGTTATTGCAGTGTCGATTTCTTCAATTTCAAATTTGATAAGATTCAATTCTACCGGTGTACTTTTTCCTATGATCTAAATATAAAATCGATTAATTTATCTTCAAGTTATAAATCTACATTACAATAATAATTACATCGTTATACCATTCGATGGTTTTCTCTAAATTCAATGTGAATTCCCGATACATATCATTTTTCTCAGCAAAATTTAATCCTACATTTGGAATATTTTCGTTGCACATAACCTTCAAGTGGCGTAATTCACAAAGTAGGGCAAACAATTGTTTGTCAAAATTTGAAAATAATTTTTTTTCTGACGTTTTTGCTCCGATTAGTGACTTTTCCAAATTGTTATCTATATTTTTGGGCACTTCAATTGCCCATTCGCCAAATATTTTATCTTCTAATTCACCGAGTAAACGCATCAAATTATTATATTTCTGATACAACTCGTTAGCTTTATTAGACTTTGAAACTGAATGTTGAAGTGTCATAAATTGATTTACTTGTGTTGATATTCGAATACCTATTTAAATAAAAATTAATATATTACCATTCGTTTGATAGGGCGTGTACACGCGGTAAAAATACCAAGCTGTTTGGTCCATTTAAGAGTTGAAATGATATTGGGAAATCGCCGATCAGCAAACAAGTGACCTTTTATTTCGAAATATTTTATCTGAAATTCAAATATTTTCTCACAACACCGAAGTTCATCGTCTAACATTTTAAGTAGATTTCTATAATTGTCGTCAAATGAATGCTTTATTTTTGGTCGATCTAAAACACTTCCTAAAATGTTGATTAATTTAAATGCACTCTCTAGACTATGACAATCATTAAAAGCAGCACAAAATATTCCCGCCAATTTTATGTCCAATTCATGAATAAATTTTTCAAATTCAAAAAAATCTTGCATAAATTTTGGATCGTCCGGATCTAGTACGTCATACGTTTTGGATGCAAATGATGAAAAGTGTTGATAAAAATCCATGTAAATATTTGTTATTTTGGAGCTCAATTGTCTGCCTTTTAGTCCACCAATTTCCACTGTTTTTGATGTCATCACAAGTTCAAACAGACGACAAATATTTAAATGAAATCATTCAAGGTCCAAGTTATAAAATTAAATACATACCCTTTTCTAGTTTTAAAAACTCAATGACTGTGGAAAAAAACCATTGTATTGTGTTTAATCGTTCCAAAAATGCATTGAAACGATCGAAAACAGCATTAGGATGAAATGTCCAAAACAAAACCTAATTGAAAAATTTATGATTAAAGAATTTTCTAATATCATATTGTATCATCTTCGAAAATCAATTTTTACCGATCTTTGGTTTGGTATAAAATATGTGTCCAGTTTCTCTTTATATTTGTCAAACAAAGAGCGAAAATATTTAAGTGATTGCATAGTATGTGTAATTCTTTGCATAGCTTCATCAATATCAGTATGAAAGATTGTTGATGGATCTAAAAAGCGTTTAGCCTTTTAAGGGAAAGTAAATCATAAAATTATTGTTCTTCGTAACGACTTGCAGCAGCGTAGATTTCACTTAAATAAAAAAAATTAAATAATAATAATAACTGCACCGAACAGCGTTCCTTCGCCTCAATGGTTTATTTAAAATGAATTAAATAATAATAATAATAATAACTGCACCGAATAGCGTTCCTTCGCCTTGATGGTTTATTCAAATTAACTTAAATAAATATAATTTGATATTGTTTGGTAATCTAAACATTTTTCATCAAGCAATTTTGAGAGTCGTTGAGAGTTGTAACAATTTTTATATTTATATATGATATTTACAATTAATAAATTGTATTATGCGCTGAATCATAATAATTTAAACTGTTTGATATTTGACTCGACTTCATGAATAATTTTGAAGATAAAAGACACTTGTGCTATCTTGCGTCTCTGTCTATGTTTATATTTCGGTAGCCTGTAACTGTTCCAGTTCATTCTGCTTAGCGCAAAAAGTAAAAATTGTATATGTATTGATTCTATTCTTTTGTAGATATTGTCGACATACTCTCTTCTCGAAATATTCAATAGGTATAATGTTCATAACATCGCTTACAAACCGCTCTACAACACTTATCGACGTAAACTTTACCACAATTTTGACAAAGAGTTGCATAGATGCCTGATTTATTCAACACTTCAATTTTATCCTTGGTGCTTTCAAAATGGGTTTCGAGTTTAAAACCAGTACTATTTGGTGTAATGATGATCGAATGTTTTATAAAAATTCTGCAAAGATTGTGATTCACTTCCAGCTTATGCATGGGGGCGACGTGAAAAAACTTGACATCAGCGCCAGTCCCTCATAACTAAAAATGGTACAAATTCGCAATATATGGCGCTTATTTTATTAGGAGAAAAATGAAAAATTAAATATTTTTAAGGTAGTTAATTTAAAGATTTCAATTTAACTCAAGTTAAAAGATGTGATTATAATTTTAAAGTACTATAGAAAATATCAAATGTGATATTTGTTGTTTCGAAATGTTGTATTGGTTTATTTTCAAAATGCAAAGAAATTTTAAAGAAGAAAATAGTTATAATTATAATTTTATAAAATATTTTAAGCACTCAATTTATTTTATCATATATGATATTTCATTATACACAAGCAACGGTGACTGTCGACAAGATACACAAGCAACGGTGCTTGTCAGAGAAGCACTAGAAGTCACTATATTTAAATTAAAATCACTAAATTAAAACTTTTGAAAATATTTCAATATTTTTCATTTTTCTTCTGATAAAATGTAAGCGTGTTTCTCGATTCATAAGCGCCATCTATTGCGAATTTGTACCATTTTTAGTTATGAGGGACTGGCCTCTGATGTCAAGTTTTTAATCATACGTTTCACGTCGCTCCCCTAGCTCAATTTTACAATTTTTCAAATTCTTCCAATTTATCAAAGCAAAAATTACCAAATGACTCCATATGATTCTATATAGTTCTGCGGTTGCCAGCGGTACTAATCTCTAATAGAGCGTTGCCGAGCTGTCATTATCGTCGTGCTTTGCAATTTTATTAAAATTAAATGTCAACGAAACAAAGATCATTTCATAGGCGGCGTAAAAATTAAAAGAGTCTTTGTAATAAGGGACTTGGGAGTGTAGCTTGATTGCAAATGAATTTCAAGTCACGTATTGAGCATGTTACAGCTAAAGCCAGGTCAAGATTGGCTTAGTTAAAGTTCCACGGCAAGGATTCCGTCGACCCATGGACAATTAAACGCCTTATTTTACATTTGCATTACCAATTATCGAATTTGGATCGGGAATATGAAATCCACACTACGACAATATGTGCAAAAGAATAGAATCAATACAAAAACAATTTTTACTTAATGCGCTAAGGAGAATGAACTGGGACGGTTTTGTACTTCCTAAATATGA